ATGCCTGTCCTTGGGCCCTGCGGGTGGGGGAGTCTGGTGTGGGCACCGATGGCCTGGCCCCTGAGCGGGAACTGGGTGGAGGGGAGCAGGTAGAGGCCTCTGGTTTGCCGGCAGCTGTGAGGGCAAGGGGACCATCAAGGGGACTCATTCAGGGGCACGGGCGTTTAACTAGATCAGTTTCCAGAAGCAGGTTCCCCAGAATACCCGTGATGTGTGTGCGCTGTGATGTTTAGGGCGGGGTGGGTGGTGGGAAGGAAGGATCCTTGTCTATACATTTTGGCGTCCCTGTATATCGGACCTGTTTTTGAAGAGTGTGTATGCACATCAGCATATTAAAGACTCTGGGCAGCCTGCAGTGAGGAAAGCTGGTTCATCTTGAAGTCTGTTTCCCCCGACTTCCTGAGCCATAGAATTTCTTGTCTAATAAACACTGAACACAGCCCACTGGTAAGTGCTTCTCAGATTCAGACGTTAGGCCCCCTGGCCGTGTAGCCCGATCTTCCTTCTCTGGTGAAGATGACGGTGCCCTGGAGCCAGAAATACACCTGGCACTTGGGTGGGAGATGGGTGCGAGGTTATAAGACAAGCGTTTGTTAAGTTTTTATATGCCATTCTCTCTGGAAATCATTTTGGGGAAAATGAGGCCATGAATTACTTGCCTTGTATTTTATTCACCATTTTTTTTCTTTTACAGTTAAAAAAAATACAAATCTTTTTCATTTTGGAGTAAATGGGGAGCCGTCAGAAAGGGAGGAAATACAGTTTTTTCCCGGGCCTTCAGATCTCTAGGAATAGCTTCCATGGGACCTTGAACACACAGCTTTCTGAGCTGTGAATTCCCCCCCCCCCACCCCCCGAAGGCCCTCCGGGGGCCCTGGAGGCTCCGTGGAAGCTGCCAGCTGCCAGGCTCAGTGAGTGAGAAGCGCGTCTCTCTAAGCCCGTACCCGCGGCCCTGCAGGTGCACGGCCTCCTGAGCTGCCCAGCGCTGAGGAGAAGCGCACGGATCATTGAACAGAGAGCCGTGGACACAGCCCTGTACATGCAAAGTGGAGACAGGTGAGGCCTTTCTAGCTGCCGAGTGAAGTCACGCGTGGTCAGCCTCCCGTGTGTGGGGAGGGGCTCGTCGGACAGCTCACACCTGCCTGCGGGCGCCCTGTGCCCTGGCGGAGACCACCCCCTTGTGCAGGCTCACCGCAAGGCTCCCCCTCGGCCGAACTGGGGCTGGGCACCTCGCGCTTCTGTTCACTGTCACCCAGAATCGGGAGCCACCTCCTGACTGAGCTTCCTTATTCACTGACACTCCTTTTGCTGTAAGTTTCAAAGGACTTGAGGTG